AACAGAATAAGAAGCAAAAGGTGGGTGTAGCTGGATGACCACACTTCTGGTAACGTGGGGTGTGACCTAATATGCTAATGAGCTGCTATGTCAGGGTGTGGCATAATATGCTAATGCGTTTCTGCTGTTGGGTGTGGCCTATTATGCTAATGAGTTCCTGCTGGGCTTTTTCTACAAAAAAAGCCCTGACGACCAACAAAGGTTTATTCAAGGTATGAGCTTTCGTGGGCATGCACACTGTTTCAAATACGTTAGAATGGCAAAAAAGGTTCAAACTTATAGCCAGAGAATGAACAGCAAATTAACATGCAACATGATGATGTTCAAGATATGCAAAGTGACACCAAATAACAAGTTAAGATTATAAGGTCAACAGTTGTAAAGCAATAAATAGGTCAGACTAGCAGATAAATGTCTAACTGTGTCTTTTCTAATTGTGGGAAGTGATTCCCAGTCCTTGAATAAACCTTTGTTGGTCTTAAACGTGCCACTGAACTCTAAATTTGTTCTACTGTCTCTGCACAGTGACTCTGGACTTTGTTGGTGGTCTCCTATACAAATACTAACCACCAGAGCCAACCCTGCTTAGCCCCAGGTTCAGCCCCCATAATCTCCAATTAAAAGGATCAGGTAGTCAGTGATGGAGAGCTGAATGAAATCAGAAAAGAGAATAACTGTTCATGTAGGAAAAGAAGATTCCAGGGCTATTTTTGGGCAGGAACGCACAGGAACGGAGTTCCGGCTGGCTCCCAAGTTGGCCACGCCCAGCAGGAACTCATTAGCATAATAGGCCACACCCAACAGCAGAAACTCATTAGGATTGGCTACAGTAGGGGTGTGTGGCCTAACATGCAAAGGAGTTCCCGCTACAAAAAAAGGCCCTGGGTTTTGAAAACAAACAAGGTAAACAGAATAAGAAGCAAAAGGTGGGTGTGGCTGGATGACCACACTTTTGGTAACATGGGGGTGCGGCCTAATGGGCTAATGAGCCGTGCTGTCAGGGTGTGGCCCAATATGCTAATGAGTTTCTGCTGTTGGGTGTGGCCTATTGTGCTAATGAGTTCCTGCTGGGCTTTTTCTACAAAAAGAGCCCTGGAAGAGTCTAGTTCCACAGTGCCCAGATGGAGCGATTGCTTCCTACATGGGGAAGAGTTTGTGTTCCCTTCTACAACAAGCACTTCACGGGTTAAAAATAGATTGTGATAGATGACGTCTTCCACAGTGAGCCTTGCTCTGAGATGCCCAGCCTATTACCTTTGATCACAGTCTTTCTTTGTTTGACCACTGACCCTGCCTGCAATTCATACCATAAAAGGAGAAAGGATTCCAGATGGAATTACGATGAGCTCTCAGGAGAATTGCCTGGGTGGGAGGAACCAGAGATGCTGACCTGTGAATTATTTTTGCTCTGATTGGGTATGCTTTTAAAGAACCCCCCCCCCAGTGTGTTAAAAAAATTAAAAATTAAGCGGTTGATCCAATAAAAGATAGTTATGTCAACAGTGGAGCTCTCTCACTGCTGAACAATTCCGGAAATATAACTCCACCATTGTTCCCATCCGTAGAAGCATGACCTGTATATTCTTTTCTTCCAGGTGAAACCCAAAAGCCAACATCATGTCTGATGAGGAAGCTGAGTATGAGGAGTAAGTAATATCTGGATTCCAGCCACAAATGTGTGCTCACAAATACTCAAAAAGACTCAAAAACAGTTTATGGAAAAACATTTCAAGCAAACTTTAAATTCCTTTCATTTGATATATGCAATATTTCTTCATAAGGATACTGCTGGATTCAGAGAATGCTAGAAAAACAGTTTTAATTACTTAATTTGGCAAGTTAACATCGTCACCTATCAACAAGATTTGGCTGGGTCCTTCGAAATACAGTTTTGAAATCCATATTTTTTAAATGTACAAATTGCAGCTTCAAATTTTGGAAATGTGCCCAGTTTCCGATTTGTTCACAGTTCATGTTTTAGTTCTAAAGTGCACACAGATACCTCACCATGGCTCCCATTTGTCTCTCTGAGGGACAGGCTAATATTTATTTATTTATTTATTTATTTATTTATATTTCTATCCCTCCCTCCCCGCGAACGGGCTCAGGGCGGCTCACAGTTTAAGGCACCATGTGCCATATATATAAAACATATGCAAACATATAAAACAAGATTAAAAAATCCCATATAATACAATTAAAGTGCTCAGTGATGTTAGACCTTCAATCGAATTTAGATGGCATACTGTAGATAGAACACAAAGTCCCGATTCAGCGGTGATTGATCTATCACGATGCTGTGGCTCGATCTTCATATAGAGCCAACCCACTACCCCATTGTTACTAGTGATAATAGTTGGTGATAGTGGTGGCTCCTAATTAAAATCCTGGCGGAAGAGCTCCATCTTACAGGCCCTGCGGAACTGTAAAAAGTCCTGCAGGGCCCTGATCTCCTCTGGGAGCTCATTCCACCAGGTAGGAGCTGCCACTGAAAAAGCCCTGGCCCTGGTTGTAGCGAGCCTGGCCTCCCTGGGGCCTGGAATCACTAGCCGATGTTGTGACCCCGACCGTAGTGCTCTCTGGGGTATGTGTGGGGAAAGGCGGTCCCTCAGGTATGCTGGACACTGGCCATATAGGGCTTTAAAGGTAAGTACCAGCACCTTGAAGCAGATTCAGTATGCTATTGGCAGCCAGTGCAGTGCTTTCAGCAGAGGCCGGATGTGCTCCCATCTTGGGAGACCCATCAGGAGCCTGGCCGCAGCATTCTGCACTAGCTACAGCTTCCAGATTTGCGACAAGGGCAGCCCCATGTAGAGAGCATTACAGTAGTCTAATCACGAGGTGACTGTAGCATGGATCACTGTAGCCAGGTCATTGCGGTCAAGGAAGGGAACCAACTGCTGAATCAGCCGAAGGTGGTAAAAGGTCGACCCGGCAGTGGCTTCCACCTGGGCCTCCATACTTAAGGAGGGATCTAGGAGCACTCGTAACCTCTGGCGCTGGCACCAAAGGCACCCCATTGAAGGCTGGGAGAGGGATCCTCATCCCTAGACTGCCCCGACTCAGGCACAGGACCTCCGTGTTCGCTGGGTTTAGTTTCAGCCAGCTCAGTTTAAGTCAACCAGCCATGGCTTGCAATGCCCGGTTCAGATCTTCCGAACTGGAGTCTGACTGGCCACCCAACATCAGATAGAGGTGGGTGTCATCTGCATACTGATGACACCCTAGCCCATACCTCCAGGCAATCTGGGCAAGGGGGCGCATATAGATGTTAAACAGCATCGGGGAAAGCACCACCCCCTGAGGCACACCACCTTCAAGTGGGTGTCTTCGGGACTGCTGTTCCCCTAGCACCACCCTTTGTCCCTGACACTGGAGAAAATAGACAAGCCACTGTAAGGCAAGCCCCTGTATCCCCACGTTGGCGAGGTGGTGGGTCAGCAACTGGTGGTCAACTGTGTTGAACGCAGCTGAGAGGTCTAACAACAACAGTACTGCCAACTGCCTCAATCCGGATGTCTCCGGAGGTCGTCTCTGTCCCATGACCAGTGTTCCCTCTAAGTTGAGTTAGTGAGCTAGCTCGCAGTTTTTTAGCCTCTGGCTCACACATTTTTGTCTTAGGTCAGGAAGGATGGCTCCAGAGCAAACTTATTTATGCAATAGCCAAATCGCTTGCTCACAACTGTAATGCCAGCAGCTCACAAAGTAGAATTTTTTGCTCACAAGACTCTGCAACTTAGAGGGAACATGATCAGGCGAAAGCCGAGCTGGAAGGGATCTAGGATGGAAGCATCATCCAGAAAACCCTGTAGGGACCTAATAGGTCTCTTGTGGATCAGACTCTGAGATGCAGTGGGTGTGGCTGGCTGCTAAGGGGGTGGCTCCTGGCAGATCACAAGGCGGTGCCTGTTGAAAGGGGGGGGACTGGTGGTGACGTGGTTGGGGTGGAGGATGGCACCTGGCCTGTCATAGGAAGAATAACAATGACAACTGACACAGTGTTATATCCAATATATATTAACAATTCCAAAAAGTCAATGAGCATATAAATACATGATATCGGGGAAAAGATGGTGGCAGCGTGAGTAGTTTATCTCTGAACTCTCCCCTGATTGTAAGGTTTCAGCTTTAAAAATAGCTCAATATAGCATATTGAAAGGTGCTAAACTGAAGAAAGGGAAAGCTTCTAAACTAGAGAAAAAGCATAGCCGGTCTGTGAGCTCATATTTCCAACAAGCAGGCCAATTATGCCATAAATCTCAAGCTGGGAGTGAAAGACGCGAAGGAGGCTCTCGATTCAAAGAGAACAGAAGAGCTAGCATTGTTTGAGACATTGATAACACATTAGAACGCTTAACTGACAGAGTGGGCATCATGATTACTCCAATTAAAGAACAATTGCAAGTAATGAACAGTAAATTGGAGATAATCATAGAAGAAGACAGGAAAGTGAAAGAACTAACAGAAAAAAAATGCAGAGGAAATTACTGTTCTTCAGAAGACCATTTCTAAACAACAAGAAGAAATTATTCAACACCAGGATAAAATTATCCAAATAGAGTCTTATCTCAGGTATAACAAACTAAAACTGTGTGGGGTGCCAGAAGATATATGTACACCTGAGAACTTACCACAGACGCTGATGAGCTGGTTTGGAAATATGCTGCATTTGGAGGAAGGTACTTCAGAGTTCATTGAAACAGCACATCATGTGGGACGCCAACGATGGAAAAACCCAAGAGATATAATAATCCAGATAAATAACAATTTTATTAGGGATAAAATTCTATCTTTGGCAAGGAAAGGGAAAACACTACGACTTCAGAACAGTAAAGTATTGGTATTCCCAGACACCCCTGCAGAAGCTTTGCAAAGAAGAAAGGTCCTTAAAGAGACAGTAATGACACTTCGAAATATGGGACAAAAATATAAATGGGCTTCTACAGGAAGATTAGTAGTAACTTATAAAGGTTCAACCCACTCTGCATATGATGAAAGATCAGGACTAAAATTGATACAAGCAATCAAAAAGGATGAAGAAAGGGAGACAGTGGGAAATAAGAAGAAAAGAGAACGCAGACATACTTCATCACCGGTGAGAGAAAGAACAACCTAAAGAAGCTACAGAGGACTGGAAGATATAAAGCTAGACCATTAATAACACAGAATGAAAATAATGTAAAGCCGATAGTATTATTTTTTTCTAATTGAAACAAGTTAAACTGGGGGGGGGGAAGAGTAACTAAGGTTTCTTGTTTGTGGTTATTTTAAAGTATGGGGCAGAGTAAGCAATTGGGAAGGTTTTTTTCAGTCGAAGGTATTTTAGAGTTTTTGTATTTTAGGGTTAAGTTAAGTTTGGGTTAGGGGGGAGAAGGAGGGGAGGAAGAAGGGAGGATATAGGGAGGGGGTATAGATTTGTCTTAGTAAGGTAGCTTACTGACTGCAGACTGCTAACACGACAAATTATAATACAGATTGATAATTTAATATTATTAGTGCCAGCTGGATAGCTCCGGTTTTTAAGGAAAATTTAATGGTAAGAATACGAGACTTGAATATACAGTGATATACTGAATATGTATTCAGATACTCTTAAAGTACGCTCAGTGAATGTTAGAGGATTAGACAATAAAATCAAGCAAAAACGTATGACAACATTTATATTAAAATCCAAACCTGAAATAGTAATACTACATGAGACACATTTAAGATCAGAAAATAATTTGGTGCTGAAATCCCAATGGTATCGTCAACAATATCAGGCTCATGGTACATCAAAATCTCATGGGGTTACCATATCGCTGGCTAGAACAGTTAATTTTCAATTGGAAGGAATGTGTAGCGATACCCAGGGACATTATTTATTCATTAAAGGAACTATGAATAATGAAAAGACAACAATAGCATCTATTTACGCTCCAAATTATTTACAACTTTAATTTCTTGAGGATACATTGTCTAATTTAGAAGATTCCAAAGAATGGCATGAGATAGTAGGTGGAGATTTTAATATGATTGTAGACTTTTCCTTAGACAGGTTGGGAAAATACACAAAAAAGAAATGTAGAAAGAATAGTTACACTAAACTTTATGAACTTCTGCAGAAGCACCAGCTGTGTAGCACTGCAAGTTATATTTTTAAAAGAGCTCTTAAAAGTTGAAATGTTGGTTAATACACGGTGATAATATGTGTTATGAATGTACTGTTAAATATATTGTTCAAAATAAAAAACACTTATTTTTTTTAAAAAAGTATACTTTCAGATACCATAATGGGTAATTGGCAACAAATTGAAGAATCTTATTGTGTACTACTGCACCTGTCAGAGTTATTTTGGAATCCCTCAAAATTCAGGCCTAAATTTCTCTGAGAGAATTTTATGCTACACACTTCTATTAAGATCTGGGATAAATATAGAGCTAAACTCTCCCCAGAGATCTCACCAATGGCGACTTTTTAAAACCAACATTGGTTTCCACCTGGACAGGAACATTTGGCTTTTACACAGTGGAGAAAAGCTGGTGTGACTCGCATAAAAGATTTAGTAAAAAGGAAGTCTACGCTTAGCAAAGTAGATCTAGAAGGTAAGATTGGGGTAACGATCCCTTGGTATAAATACTTATAAGTTAACCATATGGTGTGCTC